CATTTGTGTTCTATTTTTTCACAATTACCTCAGAATAAAGTCGGTCACACCAGTGACGTCAGCTAAAAGCTTCATATGAAATCATGAGCTGAATGAGAAAATCTCTGATAACTGAAAGACACAGTGGACTCACCATGTGCTTTTCTTCATAGATCCTCAGAAAACAGGTAAAAGGAAGTCAAGTGATGTCATCAGTGTGATTTTTATTTCAAAATAAGAGAGTGACACGACTCCTGGGGACAACAACTTTCATTATATATTTTATGATATTTATTTGTTTTCTTTGTCATTTAAATCATATATTTCATAGGCATGTATAGATTATTGCAGTTAAAATTGCAGAATTTTACCTCAAAATATGGCCTCTCCCTTCACACATAACTGTGAGGACAAGCACTTCTGTGGTGCTTGGAATTCTATATGATTGATTTAACCTTTTAAACTCTTTGAGACCACCGGTGGTTCCAAAACGCACTTCGTCATATTCTTCATAACTTTCATATTTCATAAGCTACATTCAGAAGGTGGGGGTCATATGAGAGCTGTAACTGTCTTCTTTCCAGTCAAATAGATGGGTGATGTAATTTTAAACCCTTATAATAAAAGAAGCTGAACTCAGTTTTTTTTCTACTGAAAGTCGACCCTTTTTTCCACAAATCTGGGCTATAAACTATAAACAGACGGCGTCTCTTCAGTGATCTGCTCTGTAAAAATTATTTTTATAAAAAATACAAAGAGCGTCTAAGATTTTTGGCTATCAGCAGTAAATCATAAGCATATAGCAATATGTGTGATCATAAAACACATGTTGTGTTAATTTGAGGACAGCTTTTACGAAAAATAAATAAATGAATAAAATAAAAATTTATATTTATTTCATGCAGTTACTGAATAATTTGCCTTACGATTTGGTCATGTAAATTCAGATGGACAAACCAAAATATATCCTGGAGAATAAGAGGTTAAAAACAATATTACTAAAATGAGGCTCAAGAAGGTGTAATTGTTGAAATAAATTATTTTATTTTAAAATATAAATAAATTGTATTCCTAACATGTTTTTCAAGTGTAATATATCTGTAAACACTAGAGACACAAAATGGACATTTCCATAGAATGACTCAGGCCACCACTACACCACTGATCATTAGGCTATAGATGGATGCGAATAGCAAATGTATATACATAATATACATTACTAATAACACCAGGGTTCAAATAGCATCTGCCTTGCCTTACGAATTATTTAGCATCTACTGTAAATGATCTAGTAACCACTATGACTTCACTATGACTTATTCAGTATCTGCTATGAGTTATTCAGTATTTACCATAACCTATTCAGTAACTACCATAAGTGATTCAGCAGCTGGAGTGAATTATTCAGTATCTTATATGAATCCAATGTATGCATTCTGTAGATATGAGAGACTGTGGACCCACATACAGACCCTCAGGGTGTGAGGGGTCTGAGGGGCCTGTGATGCTTTTATGTTGTGATTTTTTTATAGCATGTTAATTCTCAGCAGGTGTTTGAAAGCTGTGCTAAAACAGAAATTGAAATTGTTTTGCAGTCATCTTTCCCGAACGACACACCTCTGATTGTAGTGTACACAGGATATGATGTAATAGTCTAATTTACATGCTTGAGTGAAGAAATAATAAACAGAGATTGTGAGCGTGGGGGCGGTGTCCGTCCGCAAATGACTAAATACACATTCGCATGTTCTCCTTTCACACACATCTTGGGCAGCATACCGTGTGTGTGTGTGTGTGTGTGTGTGTGTTTGACAGAACGGCAGATAAAGAACAGGAGTGTTCCCCATTTGTCCATTATATAAATATGCATATATTTGTTTCTGGTCATCTGTAATTTCTGTCACATAATTGGCTACATTTGTAATTTCTTATATAAATGTTTAAATGCAGGCTGTGTTTGTGTTGGAACACAGACAGACAGCTCGTGTTAAGATTTGTTAATAACCACCAGCTTGTCTTTTTAAGAACAGTATCAAACATTTGGCAGTTACCAGTTATTGTGTGTGTATATATATACACACCGATCAGACATAACACTATGACCACCTCCATTTTATCAGCTCCACTTACTATATAGGAGCACTTTGTAGTTCTACAGTTACAGACTGTAGTCCATCTGTTTCTCTGATACTTTGTTAGCCCCCTTTTACCCTGTTCTTCAGTGGTCAGGACCCCCATGGACCCTCACAGTGCAGGTACTATTTGGGTGGTGGATCATTCTCAGCACTGCAGTGACACTGATGTGGTGGTGGTGTGTTGTGCTGGTACGAGTGGATCAGACACAGCAGTGCTGCTGGAGTTTTTGAACACTGTGTCCACTCACTGTCCACTCTATTAGACACTCCTACCTTGTCAGTCCACCTTGTAGATGTAAAGTCAGAAACGATAGCTCATCTGCTGCTGCACAGTTTGTGATGGTCATCCTCTAGTCCTTCATCAGTGGTCACAGGACGCTGTTGGCTGGATGTTTTTGGTTGGTGGACTATTCTCAGTCCAGCAGTGACACTGCTGTGTCTGATCCACTCAGACCAGCACAACGCACACTAACACACCACCACCACGTCAGTGTTACTGCAGTGCTGAGAATGATCCACCACCCAAATAGTACCTGCTCTGTGAGGGTCCATGGGGGTCCTGACCACTGAAGAACAGGGTAAAAGGGGGCTAACAAAGTATGCAGAGAAACAGATGGACTACAGTCTGTAACTGTAGAACTACAAAGTGCACCTATATAGTAAGTGGAGCTGATAAAATGGACAATGAGCGTAGAAACAAGGAGGTGGTCATAATGTTATGCTTGATCAGTGTGTATATATATATATATAGAGAGAGAGAGAGAGAGAGAGAGGTCATTGACGTGACATGCATTTTTCATGTCCAAGTCCATTACTTTCCCAAAAATAATGTAATAAATACATGATATATATGAATTTTTTCAACAATACCACTTTTATTGAAAGTTTTTCGTTGCACCCATATCAAATTCATTTTTTCATCTTTCTTTTTGCCTCCAAAAGTTTAAAGATGTCAGTTGGTGCAACCACCAACCATGTTGTTTAAGTAAACTATAAATAAAGATAATATAGTTAAAATTTTAAATGAAATAGTTTGGCATGATTTTATGTTCTTTAGTAAGTTTTCTTTTTAAGTTCAATCTTTTAAAAGTACCGAAAAACCCTTGTCCACAACACACCACCACTGCAGTGCTGAGTGCAGCGTTACTGCAGTGCTGAGAATGATCCACCACCCAAATAATACCTGCTCTGTGGGGGACAATGGGGGTCCTGACCACTGAAGAACAGGGTAGGAAAGTATGCAGAGAAACAGATGGACTACAGTCTGTAACTGTAGAACTACAAAGTGCACCTATATGGTCAGTGGCACTGATACAATGGACAATAAATGTAGAAACAAGGAGGTGGACTTAACAAAGTGGCCGCTGATTGTTTGTTGATTGTTGACTTGTGCAAGTTCAGTAAGCAGCTAACAAATCGTGTAAAATTACATCTTCTCAAAATATCTGCGAACAGCATTGTGGTCCATCCCTATTAGATGTGCTGAGGAGTAAGTAAATCATGTTGATCCAAAGCTTTATTGTTATGAAGGTGCCATAGTGAGTCTGAGGCTGAATGAAAGTGGGATTTATTACAGAGTATTAAATCTGCTATAACAAATTCTGAACTTGCAGAGAGATTCATCTTCATCAGCCACAAGCAGGCTAATACAGTTTTATGCAACACCAGCACTTGGTTCTTTTATGTCGATCAAACAAGAAACCTTTGCACAAACACCTGATTCAGGCACCGTAAACATCCATAAAATCCGGACTGTCTGTCGGACGGGATCGGTAGCGTAATTATGTGTCCGAATCTGCCGTATCAGTAACTTTTTGCATAAAGATTACGGCGGCCTTGTTTGGCTAAGAAACAAGCCGTGGAAATAAACCCAGGCTGTGTTAAATCCTGTGCTAATTGCCGTGTCAATAAATATTCCGTCATGTCATGTGGAAAAGGAGCTTTTCTCAGGTATTTAGGCACTCAAATAAGCATTTCCTTGTCCTGTGTCCCAGATCAACCCGATACATACTGTCCTACCCCAAGGGTAGGTAACTGACGGCCGGAGTCCAGCACAGTTTGGTGATTTTCTGTTCATCAGAAAACGCCGAGGACTGCCAGCTGCGAGCAGGCCCTCGCAATCTTTGTTCTGTTAACAAACTGAGTTCAAGTAGCTTCTGCAGCAGGTCGTTGTCAAGGTTGGTTTCTGTCTGTTTCCTTATCTGTAGCAGGGTCAGGCGGTGGTAAACAAAAGTTACGGTGGTTTCTATGTACTTGTGTCAGAAAGAACATGAAATTTAAACTAATAAAACAGAAACAGCACCATTTGTCAGACCCGGGGAGGCCGGATCTTGGACTAATGATTTCCCAGCTATAGCACATCAGCCAAATGTAGGAATTGGCTGATTCGTTGAAACAGGGGTGCTTGAGTAGGAAAATCACCAAACTGTGCAGGAATCCGGCCCTCCAGGACTGGATTTCCCCACCCCTGTCCTCCCTCACGTATTTGACTGTGAACCTTAAAACATGTGAAATGAAGTTTGTTACAGTGCCTTCACTTAAGACAGCTAGGTGGATGGCAGCGTGAACAAAATTACAGTTAAATGTTTGGACATGTTCTCTACCTGTGAGCAGCTGAGCTTATTTTGTATGGAACTTTTTTGGTGTGACAGTCAAGCCGCTCCCATCTCTGTAATTCATGCAAAGATTTCTTATCCCGTGCTAATCGCACATAAACTTTATGATGTCCTGTGGAACAATTACATTATCCCACCTCTCCATGGAAAACTTCCTGTCCAAAAAAGTGTTTAAACATAAAGTGACGTTAATACCTGGTGTTCAAGACTTCCTGTGCCTTTATCTCTCTTTCGCATACACATTCAGGCATTCTCTTTTTTCTCGTTACAGATTAACAAATGAAGAAATAGTACCAAAACAACCTTCAACGAGCCCACTTCAAAGCAAGAAGGACAACGTGTGAAAGTCCCGTCCCCATACAACAGAAAAAAGATAAAGCAATAAAAAAGTAAGACTGATAACTAAAATAAAACATGAGATCACAGAAGAAACAGAGAGGACGCTCTCCGCTGTCCACACGGGGAAAAGGCAGGAGAAAACAAGACAAACAAAACCGACAGTCACAAGCCACGCCTGCTGTAGCGTCATCACGCAAACATACTCCGGCCAAGTTGGACACTTCTAAAGGGAAGACGGACAAGAGGAACAGCGCGTCAAGGAGGGAGGGCCTAAAAGGGCAGATGAAAGGACTGTCAGTGGAGGTAGATCAAGCTGAGCAGGTTGTAGTCAGGGTCAATAAGATGACTTGCCCTAAAAATGCTAACTCCAATGTGCATAACCTTAATGTGGCAAACAGTATGGCCAGCAGCCCTGTCCCAAACAGCACAGTTAGCAACCCTGTCGCAAACAGCACAGCCAGCAGCCCTCTCACAAACAGCACAGCTAGCAACTCAATTAACACAAACGTGGCAGCCAATGGCTTAAACAAAAGTACCTCTGTCAACACCAACCACAGTCCCACCACACCCTCCAGTCGGAAAACAGCTACCTTCAAAGCCAGAGTGCCCAAGAAAAAGTACATGTATGAACACGGAGCTGTCAGCACCTCCCCTATCAGTCCGACCCCTGTACCTTCACTTGCACTTAACAGCAATCACCTCAGTACGCTTTGTAACCCCATTTCCGCTAATATCCCCCCAAAAGCAAGTAATGCCATTATTAAGGAAGACAGTGTTGTTGTCTCTACAGACGTGAATATCAAAGAATTAGGAGACAATAAGACAGGCACAGAATCTTCAAAGCTTAATTGTTTAGCTTGGGTAGAGGCTGTGAAAGATGAAGTGCCATCTGAAGGAGAAAGGGTGGTTGCACAAGTGGAAACAGATGCATATGGGGAGGGTGCCCCGAACTCAGCTCGTTCATCTTCCACAGATACAGCCAGTGAACACTGTCCAGATTTGGAGGTGCTGGAGCCGACTAGTGTGCATCCAAATATAGGGATTTCTTTGAGTATAGCAAGAAGTCCTGTAAACAAGTCACCAATCCTACCTCCGATCCTCACCTCAAACAACCATTTTGAGCAAGAAGATTTTTCAGGAATAGCTGAGGCACTGGCTAAAGGACTAAAGAACCAGAGAGTGCTAGTTCGACATCAGCGAACAAAGGAGGGGATGGAGGGAGAAGAGCCGATCAAGGAATGTGTGTTTATCTGCGGTGTTGTACGTGGGGCTACTAAAGAGCAGCTGAATGTAGGGTTACAGATTAACGGGGTGGAGACACAGCTTTTGTTCCCATTTCAAGCATTAGCAAGTCACCCACACCAAACTATTGACCTCATCTTAGACGCCCCGCCACCGGGCAGTGACCCTGTGGAAGTTGGGACGCATGTTTGTGTGCCTTATGGAGGAGATAAGGGGAAGGAGGTGTACAGGGAAGGAGTGGTCTCACATGTGGATTCCCATCCAGCTGTTGCTTGCCCCTACAGGGTGCTACTGAAGGAAGAGCAGAATCGTAGGAAACCAGGGAACAAGATGGCTGAGGCACACCAGAGAACGGACATTCAAGCAGTGTGGGTATCCCGACAGAACCTGCGTCTCGTTGTCCCGGCCTGGGAGGGGGATGTGCAAGAGCAGGAACAAAACAGGGAGGAAAGAGAAGGGAAGGAGGAGATGGAGGTGGAGCGAGAAGTGTGCCAGCTTAGTAGGGGAATGGGTTTTGGAGGTGCAGGGCCACCTCCAGGGAGGAATACTGAGCTCTCAAATCCTGATGTTGGGGGTAAACAATATAATGGTGCATCACCTCCTTCATCTGCATCTTTACCAGCAGTTCTGATAGTAAACAGTGTGCCAAGTCTGCCCACTGGAAGAGAGAGTCGGAGGCTCGAGGATACAGAGAGAGAGAGAGAAAGAGCAAGAGAAAGAGACAGGGAGAGAAAGCAACTGCAGACACCAGAGGTTGACTTGGAAGTTTTACGGCTTAATCTGGCACCTCTCCAAGATGCTGGAGGTACCTTGATCTCAGGAGTGCCCAAAGCAGCTGGCCCCATTCAACACAGACAGATTCTCTCTAAGCCTCCTGGACACTCAGGCTCCCTCTCAGTGGCACGAGGCCTCTCCGGCACGTCCTTGGGTACTCACTTGTCTGGTCCACCCTCAGGCAGTCCTCAGCCGCCTCCGTCACCAGCTTTTGTAGGCTCTGATGGTGCTCTCTCGCTTTCTCACCCTTCAACTGTGGCTCCATCACCCAGCTCAAGACGTTCTCTTACACCCCTGGACAAGACCCCTTCTCCTTCACAGAATTCTACTCCCATCCCAGGCAGCTCAACTTCATCTTCAGCCTCTTCTTCACGATCAAGGACTCCACTGTCTGTTGCTCAGCAGAAATATAAGAAGGGTGATGTGGTATGCACACCCAATGGTATCCGCAAGAAATTCAACGGGAAGCAGTGGCGTCGCTTGTGTTCTAAGGACAGTTGCATGAAAGAGTCTCAGCGTAGGGGTTACTGCTCACGACATCTCTCCATGCGCACTAAAGAGTTGGAAGGAGCCGGCGGAGAGAGGGAGCACAGGGGAGGAGGAGGGAGCAGCTCAGGGACTGCAACCCCTTCAGACCTGCGAGGTCGAGCCAGCAGCGAGTTTGACTGGGAAGAGACATCTCGGGACAGCAGTGAGACCAGCAGTCGGGGAACTGATTCACGACCACGTCTAGTTCTTCCATCTCTGCTGCCACAGGATTTTTCGCGCTTTGATTTTGATGAGTGTGAGGCTGCTACTATGCTTGTGTCTTTGGGGAGCTCACGGTCAGGAACACCCTCATTTTCACCTATATCAAACCAGTCACCCTTTTCTCCAGCCCCATCTCCATCTCCCTCTCCACTCTTCGGCTTCCGCCCTGCTAACTTCAGTCCTATTACGACCTTGACTGTTCTGCCCCCTCGCCGCCACCAACACACCAGTGGCACTAGCACTGGCACTTCCAAACTTAACACCTCGGTGGTGGAGAAGGAGCGGGAGAGACTTGTGCCTGGCATTGTACCGTCTTTCCAAACAAGTCTAACCTTCACTGTGCCTGTTAGTCCCAGCAAGCGTAAATCAGATGCCCCACCACCCCCACCTCCTGTTGTGCAAGACTGCACCAAATCTGAACTGGAGCAGAGCAGAATAGATGCCTCAGTAGGAACCTCCTTTCGGGTACTTTCTCCTCAGACAACTACTTTCTCTCGCAGCCAAAGACCCCCATCATCCACAGCTTCTTCCTCACCGCCCTCTCCTTTGCCCTTAGAGACAAGCTCACAACATGCACTCGCTCAACAGTCTTTGCGGGACTCTCCTGTAATTGTACGAAACCCTGAGATCCCTCTAGCAAAATTTACAGAACGTCCACTGGCTAGAGTTGCAGATGAGGAAGGAGCCAGCTCCAAAGAGAACAACCAATCTGGTAGTCTGACTGGTGCGGGATTACAGGTGCCTGTTCCAATTAATGCAGCTGCCTCCACCAATGGGGCAGTCTTGCTGCACAACCCTTCATCGACTCTTGTTCTGGTGTCTTCCATCTCTTCCCTTCCAAACCCCAATCCAACAGGCCTGACTACCCAATCCAGCCCTGCCTTGGCCTGTATATCAGTGCCCAGCCCTACACCTGAGTCTGCTTCCTTTGGTTCAGGAGGTGGTGGAGGGCAGGATAAGGGTGGAATAACAACATTACAGCAGCCAGTTCCGTGTCATCCTGCCCCAACAGCTTTGTTACCACTTATACTTCCAGCAGAGACCCTGCACCCTGTTCCATGCAAAGACATCATTATGGGACGACCAGGAACTGGTAAGAATTTTCATTTATTAAACTCTCTTATTCTATCGTGCAAAGCAAAGAGATGTTTGTGATGTTAATTAAAGGACATTAGCAATTACATTTAATAATGGTGATATTGTACGAACCTAGCGATGCTTTTGTCTTTTAATATCTGATCATGTTTGGCATCACATCCATGTTGTAAACAAGCATCTATGCAAGAAGATTATTGATCTATTCAACTATTCACAGCTAGGTGATTTGACTGGTATCTAAGTGTTTTCTTAATTTTATTTCCACACACATTTCCAATTCCTGCATAACAGTGATTTAGTACCATCTTTGCGGTGCAGTAGGCTCTTTTTCTTTTCAAATATGCATGTACTACAGGCAAATATCTTTTATCTTTAAATGTTTTTGGAATTATTATAAAGCTCATCCCATATAATGAATGTATATTGCCAAAAATAGTATGAAAAAAGGTGAATAACTGATTAAATATGTATTACTTAGCTGAAGTCGTCAGTTATTCAGTTAAGTCCATCAGAAACATAAGTACAACCAGCAATAACAACTAACTTTACTATCTGCAACTCAAAACGGTACCAGCAGTTACAGAATTCATGAACCAAAAAACCACACAAATGCGTTCACTTGGAAAATATATCACATATACAGTAAAGAAAGATGAAATCTAATATTATTTAAATGCATTAGAACTTATTTCTCAACTAACTTGAGCAAATCGTTGCTGTCAGGACAAAATCTTGTGTCTCCATTTTTGTCATTTCCATCTTTTGACATAATTTGAAAAAAACGGCAGTTGCCCTTTATATTTCGTCAAAAATTCATGATGATCAGACCAACAGAAATAGTCCAAAAATTACTTGGAAAAAAATATTTCTCCATTTACTTTCATTAATAGTTAAGAATGTTTTTCCTTGTCCTGTAACGTTACCTTTTTGGAGATACGAGAACAGCAGCGAAATATAAAACTAAATGTAGTTATGTTATAACTGAAGTTCAGGGGGAGGAGCATGGATGAAAACCCTCCTTCTTCCACTCTAATGCCCTATAAATTCATATCCTCACCTTCTGTCCTTGTGACGAAGTGTTCACACCTCCACATCAGTCCTACTACAGCTATTAGGGGGTCTGGCCTTCTAGCTACAGGCAGAAGCTGCCCAGAATTCCAGCCTAAAGTCTCAGAGTTCTCCCCCGTCCCTCACTCAGTCTTCTCTCATACTACCACCACCATGCTGAAGGCATCGTCTGCACTCACAAAAGTGTATTTAAGTGAGAAACTTCACTGCTAGCACATTTTGTAGATTATGAAGCTATTGATCCTCGCTAATTTATAACATCTGAACATCTATGTTTACTTGACAAAGTTAGATTAACACAGCTGATTATCTGGGCGGTAAGTGTTAGAATGAACACAAATGCATTATAAAACAATAATTAGTGATTTTATGTGTTTGTTTAACCATTTCCAAACCTCTCCTTGAGGAAGTCCAGTATTACTTGTAGTTAATCATCCAATACCTGCTTTGGCTAATCAGTACGTTAATTCAGCTGGGCTGGTGATGGAGTTAAACAGATCTGTGTGACAGCTGGAGCTGTTCAGGAGAAATCTAGAACCAGCTTATCTTCTTCACCCTAGCTCACAAGATATAATTTAAAACATTCTTTTACTTTTTACTGTATTTATGTTTATGTGCATTTATTCTAATAATAAATAGTGATTTTACAAGCACAATCACACTTATTGCCGAGATAAATAATGTGCTTAGGTGCCTTTTGACTTTTGCGCAGTACTATATCTGTCACATTAATTAAAACAATCAGTATAAAATATTCTTACTGACAAAACGTATAAAAAAAGCCAAACTCAGTAAACTGCAGTTCCTTTGAAAACACGTAGGGATAGCTTTGAACGTCTCTCTTTGTGGAACCATTTTATGCTTAAATGTTTTGTTTGTTTTTTTTTTTTGAATGGTGAAATGGTTCTTCAGATTAATGGAGAATGTGTTGTATGTGTTTCTATGTAGAACCTGTTTGAAAATGGTTCTGTACAGCACCAAAAAGGGACATCAAGCTTGTAACAATAGCTTTTTGGTGCCATACAGAACCGTATATATACACACATTGTTCACCAATCAGAGGTGAAGGTTTTCTAGTTTGCTGTTGTGCAATGAATCCAAAGTATTTCATTTGTTTGATTAATATTTACAGGAACAGTGCAGATCAACATTTCTATTAATGTGTCAGTTCAGCCAAGTTGTCTGATTGTAGTCCCTGATTGATCCGCTATGATGTAACTGATACTGATGTATTCAAGTATGGTAAAGTAGGGATGCACAGTCGGAATCGGCCAAGATCTGAATAATCACATTATTGCTCTAAACACGTGTTTGATAATCAGGCAGTTTGTTGGTCTGATTTTAGTGGGTCTGCTGTGCAGGTTTATGAGGTATTTAATGTGAGGCAGGTGAGGCACTCGTGCTGCTGCTACACCTGAACCAAAATGTCGCAGTATAATTATACATGACTCATTGTGACAAATACTCAGACGAGCCGTCACCACCAGCCTGTTTCCCCCGTAATCCTCCTAAACAGAGACCCTTCACACAACCTTCTGCTCCTCTCTCTCTTTATATATATATATATATATATATATATATATATATATGTGTGTGTGTGTGTGTGTGTGTGTGTGTGTGTGTGTATATATATGTATCTCCAAAATAGTAACTTTACAGGAGAAGGAAAAAACCTACTTTACTTTTCATGTAAGTCAATGGAACCACAGAGATAATATATATATATATATATATATATATATATATATATATATATATATATATGTATATATATATACACATATTAGCTGTAAATACAGTATATATGTACCTCAGTACTTGGTTGTATCTGTACTCATCCCCCTTTTGCACATCCTTTACAGTACTTGCAGATTGAATCTGTACTGTCAGTGTTATTTTTATAAAGTATATCTTTTTCTGTATTTATTTTATTGGATTTAATTTTAATTAAAAAAAAAACAGTTGATGAGAGAGGAGTCCCAAGAGTACTTTTGAGGACTTTCCAAGTTGAAATGTACACAGTTGTCTAACACTTTATAAGTAATTACATGTATATTTATCTAAACCTTGAGTGTCATTTTCTGATTTTGCTTTTTATAAAATGTCAAATTTATTATTTGGCATCGTCAAAAGTCATTTGCTTTTACACACAAATACAAAAAATATTAAAAATATATTTTTTGGTGTAAAGCCTTAAATCATAATAATGGAAACCAAAGATTGAGGAGGAAAATTATTGTGAAATATCACAATATTTATTCTACATTTTTTTTTTTGCTACTCATCTTTGGGGAAAACTTATCGGTCACTATTGTGTTTATTATAGTTATCACACCAGTAAACATTAAATGAAGAGAAGTCGAGATTATCTGCTCTTTTGGCTGCTGCGTTAGTTTCCTAAGATGATAGCTGAACACAGGAAGTCCTCAGAAATGTAATCGTCTTTTTTATAGATGGAACTCTCCGTCTCATTAGACGTTTTTCCTGGTTTGTACTGTGGTATGCAAAAGTTATATTCTATGTTGTTGTTGATTTTCTGAGTGTAAATAAGTGAAACACGTCCTCTACAGAGAACACACTGCATATTTGAATGCACAGTTACTGCTTATTTGCTGCATTTAACACATTGGACAACAAAAAATGTGCCCTGTGATCTGAAATGTTAAAAGTTTAATATTCTTATTTTTTCTAATATGTTAAACTCTGCACATAAATGTAAATTGTACGTTAAAAAAATGCAGAAGTGTGTTCTCTGTAGAGGACGTGTTCACTTATTTTCACTTAAGAACTCAACAAAACATGGAATGTGACCAGGGCTGTGCAAACATCTGCATACAACTATATGGCTTATAAATGAAGGCGACATTACAAATGAAAAGAAATGCAAATTAAATCTAAAAAGCTCAGTTATTCTAGTATTCGAGTGCATTCGACTGTTAGTGGCGTTGCTGTGGTCAGGACTGTGGTCAGTACTGCTGTAAAGCCTGATATGATCTGGTCAGCGTGGCTGATGGAAATCAGAAAATCAGCAGGCAGGAGCTGCTTGTGCAGTGATGTTTGTTCACTGGCACTTGTGAAAGGACGATCAGGACGACAACAACAACCAATAGTAAAAATATCCTTTGGCACAGCTGTACATGCAGCTGTGCAGCATTACAGTATCAGGTGTGATCCTGATACAACAATCATGATTCCATAGATTCCCATTATGTATTATTCCTGATACATATTAGAATTAATTACAAATCCAAAATAAAAAAAGATTAATAATAAAATAAATCAGTAAGAAAAATCATTTTAGTTCATAACACTGACAATCAGGTAAGAGGTTTAGGCCTTTAGTAAATGAGTGGGCTAAAAAAGAATCAGTCCTCTGGGGTGGATTCAACACTCTTAAAAAGGTGGTTCTTCAAGGGTTCTTAAGTAATGAAAAAGGTTCTATGAAGAACTTAGAGCACTCAAAGAATCCTTTGCATGATTAAAGGGATCTTTGCATCATGAAATGGTTCTGTGCGCTGCAATTTGCAGAAAAATGTCATATTTAAATTTGTTCACTTATTGACATGGAATTTGACCAGGGGCGTCTAAACTTTTGCGTATAACTGAACCTTGTAAAAATGCAGTATGCTGAAAGTTTGTGCCCCCTTGGTCGCATTACATGTGCTGTTTACTCTTTACTATCAAATTACAGTTTATTTACTGAATTTAACATATTGGGAAAAATATGTACCTTGCAAAAGCACATTTTATATTTCATGTTTTCCAAAATGTTAAACTCAGCATGTAAATACAAACTGTGCACTACAATTTGCACAGAAATCTCATATTTAAGTGTGTTCACTCATTTTCACTTAGAAAATCAACTAAGCATGTCATTTGACCAGGGGCGTCTAAACTTTTGCATACTACTGAACCTTGTAAAAATGC